GTGTGTGTGTGTGTGTGTATACCTACACACACATGCTATATGTAAGAAAACTGTCACTCCAAGAACACACACACACACACACACACACACACACAAGTGGTCCATCCCTTTAATTTTAAAGTAATGTGTTGCAAGTGTGACGTGTCCTGAAGAATGCGTTGTGTGATGAATTAAATCTCAGTAGTGGAATTTTTTAAGTTACCATGATATTATTTGCGAAAATGTAAACAAATAGAATTCTTTCCTTGTGGACGATCTATTCTACTTTATCTTTCAACAAGTTTGTTCTCTGCTGTATTCAATAAAGGGCTAGGTGGCTTAAGTTTGAGTCACTGAGCTTAGAAGCAAGGCATGTAATAAGACTAGTTTTTATGCCACATTGGATTTTTATCTAGATGTGATTTTTATCCAGCTATGTGATCTGAACCCTCACAATCGCTTTTTTCTTTAAACCATTCATATTTACCACTTATTTCATTGTGTTCCAAGTTACCAGAATCAATCATTCTCCCTCCTATCCAACATCTCTGTCTGCTGCTCTATGTGTAACTTGGTTAAGAATATCCAACCATCTACCTGTAAGTAGTATCATTTCCCCTCAAATAGGAACATCAATGAAAAACCTTAGGGGAAAACAAAGAGAGACTAGAGTACAAGGATCGTTTAGGCTCATTGTCTGATTTTGCGAGTAAAAGTATATCAAGTCCTTATTTGCTACAATTGTTTTTGGCCTTCACTAAATCCCTTTACTAGTTATCAATGCTGTATTGTAATTGATCTGTTTTTTATTCTTCATTCTTGGGGTGACAGTTTTCTTACTCATTTTCTCACCCATAACACGTAGAAGCACTTCTGGAATATTTCTCAAGCCCATTCATTTTTTCTCCTTCAGTTTGCTGTTCTTTTGTATCCTTCCAGTATTCTAACATCTCTTTGCAGACGTTCTTGCCTATCTTCCATCCATTCTCCATTCAGCAGCTAGAGTGTTCATGTACAGTTTTAATTCCATCATGTTATTCCCCAACTAAAAACCTTCACTGACACTTAGGATAAGCCTAGTACTTAGCATGGTGAAAAAGGCTCTGTGTGTCTGGACTCTGGTCTGCCCCTCCAGCTTTCTGTTGTGCCGCTGTCCAGCTGGTTTATAGGACCAGTGACGAGGCTGATCTTAGCTCATCCAAAGTGTGCTTTTTGTCTCCTAAGTGCCTTCTCAGCTTAGGGGATGACTCTGAATTATTTCTTTCTGGCACTGAATTTGTGGATGTACCACAGTGTATTAATCCATTTACCTACTGAAGGGCATCTTGGTTGCTTTGAAGTTTTGGCAGTTATGAATAAAGCTACTATAAACATAGATGAGCAGGTTTCTATGTGGACATGAGTTTTCAACTCCTTTGGGTAAATACCAAGGAATGTGATTACTGGGTCATGTGGTAAGGGTGTGTTTTCTTTTGTAAGAAATGGCCAAAATGTCTTCCACAGTGTCTGTACCATTTTGCATTCCCACCAGAAATGAATAAGACTTACTGTTTCTCTACATTCTCATCCACATTTGGATTTTGGCCATTCTAATAGATATGTTGTGGTATCT